CCCGCCACAACGCCCGGCTATTTTTTGGTTGCAGCCATCATTGTTGTTTTGGCGGGTCCGGGCTGGGGATTTGAACCTGCCACCTTAGGTGTACGTGGTTGGTGCCCTAGCCGGTTGAGCTATAGGCAATGAGCCTGGCTCTTACTTTTCAACTGTATTTATCCATCTGTCATCCTGCCTTCCATCTACCCATTCATTTATCTGCCCATCCATCCATCCATCCATCCATCCATCTGTCCATCTCCATCATCCATTCATCTGTCCATCCTTCTTCTCTCTATTCATTCATCCACCACCTGTAATTCATCCACCCATCCCTTCATTTGTCCAAAGATGGTTTATTGGATACCTGCTCCGTGCCAGGCACTGCATTCTGGAGATACAACCACGTGCAAAACAGACATAAACCTGCCCTGAGGGGAATTGTGGCATAGCAGGGGTAACAGATAATTTAACAAGCACTACAGTACCTTGGACATGACCTCGATGTCTCTGTTTATCAGTTTGCTCACAGTAGCATGGGATGGGTATAGTACCTTCCTCTCGGGGCACAGGGCAGGCTCCAAGCCAGCTTCTCAGGGTGGGGCAGTCTACAAGCCACTCACCTCAACAAAGGGGCTGTGGGTGCCAGCCGTGTCATCTGGGGACTTGGTGTGCGGGTCTGAGGGCTTCTCTAGGGGAAGCCCAGGGCGCCACAGCGGCTGGTCTGGTTTGCCCAGTTAAAAGCTGGTTGTGAAGCATCTTAGGGTAGAATAAACCTTGAGGTGAGGAGCTGTAGGCTGATTTCACAGAGGCAGGGCAGGCGCTCTGGAAAGCCCCTAGAAACCGAGGGAGGTGTGGGGTGTTATTGGGAGCTCTGGGAGGCAGCTATAGATGGAGCTGGGCAGTGGCCAGAAAGAGTCAGAGGGTCCCTGGTGGTTCCCCATGGGGCTGATGGGGGCCGGCATAGGTCAGTCGTTTTCTTTTTTTTTTTTTTAAGACAGAGTCTCACTATGTTACCCTCAGTAGAGTGCTGTGGTGTCACAGCTCACAGCAACCTCAAATTCTCTGGCTTAAGTGATTCTCTTGCTTTCAGCCTCCCAAGTACCTGGAACTACAGGAGCCCACCACAACATTCAGCTATTTTTTTGTTGTTTAGCGGGCCTGGGCCGGGTTCAAACCTGCCAGCCTCAGTGCACATGGCTGGCACCTTAACCACTGAGCTACGGGCACTGAGCCAGATCAGTCTTTTCTTTTTTGAGACAGAGCCTCAAGGTGTCCTCCCGGGTAGAGTGCCATGGCATCACTGTTCACAGCAACCTCCAACTCCTGGGCTCAAGCGAGTCTCCTGTCTCAGCCTCCCAAGTAGCTGGGACCACAGTCGCCTGCCACAACGCCTGGCTAATTTTTGGTTGCAGCTGTCATTGTTTTGACGGGCCCAGGTTGGATTCGATCCCACCACCTTAGGTGTATGTGGCTGGTGACTTAGCCACTTGAGCCACAGGCGCCGAGCCTACAGATCAGTCTTTTTTACCCACTATTCCTGAAACAGAGCTGGGCACATCCTAGGTGCTGAGGAGTATCTGTTGGATGTGTGCCCAGTCCACTGGGGTGGCCTGGTCTAACTGTCGTGCAGACTTACCTGGAAGGAGTAGTGGTTCTGGAACAAGACAAAAGTGGGTTCACACTCTGGCCCCTCCACTTCCCTGCTCTGTGTGACTGTGAGTAAGACAATTCCCCTTTCTGATCCTCAGTTTTCTCATCTCCTGTATGGGAATTGCAGGATCAACACTGACGGTTGTCGTGTAGATAGATGATGCAGGGGCTTAGTACTTAGAAGATGCCCATTAAAGAGTGATTTATTATCATTATCCGTGCCTGTGGGGTGACACTCAGGGCTACGAACCAGGACTTGGATGTAGCAGGTGAGGATGGAGTATGTGTGGAACCCTGAATTGTAAAGTTTTGGAGAGTGTGGTGGTGTAGAGTCCCATAGACCTGGAATCCGGTGCTTCCTTGCTGTGTGACCTTAGGCAAGCTACTTATGTCTCTGGGTTTCAGAGTAAAACAGGGATTATGAAAGCAGCCAGTTTACGGAGTTCTTGCAAGAGTAAATGGGCTAATGCATAAAGAGTTCAGAGCCTATATAAAACCAGCACAGTGTACCCCATGATTGCATTCATGTACACAGCTATGATTTAATAAAAAAAAAAAAAAGGAAAAAAAAAAGAGTGCAGAGCCTGGTGTGCCAGACACACATACAACAAAGGGGGCTGTCATTATCCTAGGGGGCCTTCACAGGAGGAATAGGAGTTGAGGACTTTCAGCGAGAGGTACAGTGGGGACTCTGGGTTTCAGCTGAGGGAAGGGGTACAGGACCTCCTTCACATGATGTCCCTGATGTGCTGAGTGTCCCTGCTGACCTGTTGGGTGAGTCACCTTGACCTTCCCGGCAAAGGCTTTGAGGTCTCAGAAGATGCTCATTGCTGGGAGCTTAACCTCCTGGGCTCAACAGGAAAGGAGTTGGGTGATCTTTTTTTTTGAGACAGAGCCTCAAGCTGTCCCCCTGGGTAGAGTGCCCTGGCATCACAGCTCACAGCAACCTCCAACTCCTGGGCTCCAGCGAGTCTCCTGCCTCCGCCTCCCAAGTAGCTGGGACCACAGGCGCCCGCCACAACGCCCGGCTATTTTTTGGTTGCAGCCTTCATTGTTGTTTGGCGGGTCCAGGCTAGATTCGAACCCGCCACCTTAGGTGTACGTGGCTGGCGCCTTAGCCAGTTGAGCTATAGGCGCCGAGCCGAGTTGGGTGATCTTAACTGGAGGCCACATGGTCTAGACCAATGTTTTTTAACCTTTTCTATCTCACAGCCCACTCGAACCTATAGATAAACTATTGCAGCACACTTAAATTATACTAATTAAAAAAGAAAAGAGTAAAAAAAAAAGAATATACTTATTGTGCTTTGAACTTCTTTTGAAATTAATGACCTTTAAAAAAAAATTTTTTTTTTTGAGACAGAGCCTCAAGCTGTCCCCCTGGGTAGAGTGCTGTAGCATCACAGCTCACAGCAACCTCCAACTCCTGGGCTCAAACCATTCTCCTGCCTCAGCCTCCCAAGTAGCTGGGACTACAGGCGCCCACCACAATGCCCAGCTATTTTTTGGTTGTAGTTGTCTTTGTTGTTTGGCGGGCCTGGGCAGGATTCAAACCTGCCAGCTCCAGTGTATGTAGCTGGTGCCTTAGCCGCTTGAGCTACAGGTGCTGAGCCATCTTTTAAAGCTTTTTGCACCACACCTAAGATCCTTTCATGGCACACTGGTTGAAGTCACTGGTCTAGAGGAAAAAGCATGAACTCTGGAATTATTTATTGTGTTTATTTATTTAACGTTTTAAGCAATGGGATCTTGTTCTGTCACCCAGAGTAGAGTGCAGTGGAACCATCATAGTCTCTGGATTTAAATCCTAGCTCTTCCACTTTCCCACTGTGTGACCTTGAGCAAGTCACCTAACCTCTCTGGGCCTCAGTCTCTTTATTCATAAATCAGGACAAAGCCACCTTCCTTGCAGGGCTGCCCGGAGGCCTAGCGCACAGTAGGCCTGTGTGAATGGGAGTGAGTGGATGCAGCTTCAGTAGAGCAAAGGGAGTAGATATTAATGAGCTCTGGGGCTGGTCCAAAAAGCCAGTCTATAAAACTGCTGCCCGCAGTTTCTGGTGTGTTGCTAATGGGAGTTTATGTGAAGAACACAGCCGGATAAGGGCCCATTGTTCTGAGTGGGGCCGGTTTTATGACTCTTAGAAAGCGTCTTTCATCTGGGAGACCAGGGAACTTATGGAGCCTCCCAGGCCTGGGCGGTGAAACTGGGGACGATGAAGGTTTCTGGGGCTGGTGCCAGGCTACAGCTGTGGCCAGGCCCTCCTGCCACAGCCCAGGCAGGCGAGGGGGAGCTGAGGTCCCTTTACATGCCCTCCCCACCCCACCAAGGGTCACTGCAGTCCCTGCCCTGGCAGCTATGCTGCCTCCCTGTCCCCAGGCCCAGGCCCTGCCCTGCTGGGGACCTTCTGCCAGACTCCCAGTTCCAAGCCTGGTCTGCTTGGCAAGGCTGGAGGCTCACAACGTCCCCCAGACTCCCTCCTTGCCACCCCTCTTCAGAGCCAGAGCCACATCCTCTCCATCCTTATGGCAACTTCTAGAACAGGCCCTCAGCTCTGTCCCCGCTGTCAGCTGAGCAGCAGCAGCTCTCACCCCTGGGAGCCAGGCCTGGCACTCTGAGCTCTGAGTTGGAGCAGTAACCTGATGCCAGGAAGCAAAGACCTTGTCTCCTGTCCTTTTGGGCTCGTTGGCCAGGCCCCAAGCAGAGAAATCCAACCTCTACCTTGGCTCAGCAGCTAGCCCTGAGCACTCTGCCTGTCCTCCCCAGAGGAGAGGAGGTGCGGATGCCCTCAGGAGCAGATAAGCCTGCTTTCCTGGTGCAGATGGGGCTGACACATGGGCCTGCAGGGTCTGGGCTCCTGGGCGGAGCATCCGGATGTGTTCATAGCTGCCTTTGCTATGAACCCCCCACATTCACCCCGAGCTGTGGCTTTTCCCCCTTCCTAACTTCACCTGTTTCATTTTTTTTTTTTTTTGCACTTTATTGCTCTGTTACCCATCACAGATATTACTTTCAATTGCCCTTTCCACATAGAAAAAAAGAGGTGAGCGAGATTTCTTATCTTTTCTTCATAATAAACACGGGCGCTGGGGCCAACGATCACCAGTTGCCCAGGTACCAAAAAATTACGCTTCTGAAATCTCTTGATGTCGATTCCTCATGAAGAGCAGTTGGGTTGCCCCACGTGTGCCACTCATGACAAAAGTCCTTTTTCATTTTTTTTTTTTTTTTTGTAGAGACAGAGACTCACTTTATCGCCCTCGGTGAGTGCCGTGGTGTCACACAGCTCACAGCAACCTCTAACTCCTGGGTTTAGGCAATTCTCTTGCCTCAGCCTCCCAAGTAGCTGGGACTATAGGCGCCCACCACAACACCCCGCTATTTTTTGGTTATAGTTGTTTTTGTTGTTTAGCAGGCCCGGGCCAGGCTTGAACCTGCCAGCTTTGGTGTATGTGGCCAGCACCCTACTCACTGAGCCACAGCCTGAGCCTGAAATGTTTGTTTATTGTTTAGAGACAGGGTCTTGCTCAGGCTGAATAATAGTGGCCCTACTATAGCTCATTGCAACCTTGAACTTTTTTTTTTTGAGACAGAGCCTCAAGCTGTCCCCCTGGTAGAGTGCGGTGACATCACAGCTCACAGCAACCTCCAACTCCTGGGCTCAAGTGAGTCTTCTGCCTCAGCGTCCCAAGTAGCTGGGACCACAGTTGCCCGCCACAACGCCCAGCTATTTTTTGGTTGCAGCCATCATTGTTGTTTGGTGGGCCCAGGCTGGATTTGAACCTGCTACCTTAGGTATATGTGGCTGGCGCCTTAGCCACTTGAGCCACAGGTGCCGAGCCAACTTGAACTTCTTAGCTCAAGTGATCATCCTGCTTTATCCTTTCGAGTAGTTGGGATTACAGGCCTGTGCCACTACACCCTGCTAATTTTTGGAAGTTTTCTGTAGTGATAGACTCTTAGTATTTTTCCCAGGTTGGTTGGTTTTAAACTCCTGGGCTCAAGGGATCCTTCTGCCTCAGCCTCCCAAGTAACTGGCATTATAGGCATGTGTCAACACACTTGGCGGTACACATGAAGGGTTCAAACAGAGCTGGGCATGGAGAGAGTGCTATATAAGTGTTTGCTGTTATTATTGCTATTGTTTTATCGTGAACATGGAACTGGATCTTCCACAGCATGAGCGCTTGGTCCCCAAGACTGCCCCTTCTTCAGACACCAGTTGCAAGTCTGAGCCTCCAGAACTTCTGCTGGACCAGCTTCAAGTTGGGGTTCCCATGACCCCTCTTTGAGTTCATTTGTAAGAATAGCTAAGAGAATGAATGCAAGGAAACGTGTTTACTGACCTCTTACAAGGGATATTACAAAGGATGCAGGTAGAGAGACACATAGGGCCAAGTGCAGAGCTCCCATACCCTCCCTGGGCGCACCACCCTCCAGGAACCCCCATGTGCACTATCTGTAAGCTCTCTACACCCTCCCCAATGGAGATTGCATTGGGTAGGCTTAACTGGCTACCGTGTATTGTATTCACGTCTAGCCCACTGGACACGAGCTGCCCATCTCCCTCCCTGGTGTTTGTTTTGGGAGAACTTTGATACTTCATGGCCAAGAGAATGAGCTGCTCAGACTAGTCTATCCCTGACACCAAGGTCCATAAAGTGGTAGCTCAGGAAGGTCAGCTTCCTCCCCCACCCTGCCCCCCAGGACATCTCTGTCTGTGGCTGGGCCTTTAACCTCAGCCTGCTTCCCCATAAATGCAGGTCATGGGGTATGAAGAACCTGGGAGGCTTGAGGGAGCGGCACAGAGCATCTCAGGCCCACCCTCACTGTGTAAATGCCTGTCCTACTAAACAGGGGCAGGAATGCTATAGAAAAGGTGGTTTCATCTTCGTATGATTGACTCTATCGTCCTCATTTTTAATCAAAATGGGACTCAGTCTCTCTCCGATAGTAACTGGTTTGAGGTTCTGGTCACAGTAGGGACTGGCTGGTCCCTGTGGTCTCTTTATTCATACTGCTCATGGGAGGGTGGTCTCCGGGCTTGGGAGGTCCACTTTCCCACCCACCTGCTTCTTTTTGATCCACTATGGATGATGCTGGGCTGCTGGAAAGGAGGGTCAGACTGGGAGGCGGAGGTAGGAACCCTGGGTTCCTATCTTGGCTTTGCTACCAGCTTGCTGATAGCAATGGATAAGCCATTTAGCCTCTCTGACCCATAGAAAATACCATCCCATACTCCTTCTCTCCATTTTTCCCAGGTCAGTGGTAGACACGTGGAACAGCTGATTCCTGAGTCACTTCCAGATGTAATGTATCATTAATGATTATGCTTATACAATAAATCCTGCCCTCACCAGAATGCTCAGTGAGTGGACGATTCTGGTTAATTGAACGTTCTGGGACATGGAAACATTCCCAGAAATCCTTTTTGTTTCTTTTGTGGCTGTTGAAACCCATTCACTCATCTGTTCAGCAAATATTTGTCTCGTGGCTACCCCGTACCAGGTTCTGTACCAGGTGTCGCTGAAAGAGACAGCAGAGTCCCACCTCCATGGACTCACAGTCTGGAGGCAGGACATGAGGCAAACGTGCCACCACAGCTAACAGGTTGAGGACACTGATGAGAGGATGAGGGTGCTGTGGGGTCCAGGAGCCTGCTCTGGGAGTCCTTGGGAAGAGTTCCCCGAGAAGGTGCTATTTTTTTTTTTATTTGAGACAGAGTCTCCCTATGCCACCCTTGTAGAGTGCTGTGGTATTACAGCTCACAGCAACCTCAAACTCTTGGGCTTAAGCGATTCTCTTGCCTCAGCCTCCCAAGTAGCTGGGACTACAGGCGCCTGCCACAATGCCT